AGAGAAAGAGAGGTGGAAAAGGAGTGTTACCACCAAAGCAAAGAGAGCAAACCAGGGAGGGAGAGATAAAGAAGGTGGAGACTGAAAAAGACAGAGAGAGAGAGAGAAAGACCACCCTACCAGAGGGAAGGCTGCAGATTTCAACGTCTTTTTCTCTCCCAGCACAGCTCCCCTCAGAGAGGCTGGATTTGTTCCTGCTGCCAAGTCATCCTTCACTTTACCCCTGTGTGTGTGTGTGTGTGTGTGTGTGTGTGTGTGTGTGTGTGTGTGTGTGTGTGTGTGTGTGTGTGTGTGTGTGTGCATGCTGGCTCATTACAAAGGCCCTCAGAACGCCAGTAAACTATGGCTGTGCTCTGGTTATTACTTTCGAAAGAGAAAAGCTTGGAAACTTTATATAATTCAGGATGATGCAACACACTGCAGAATTTGGACAAACTTTTAACACAACAAGGAAACATACATATCTCCTGTTTAAAGCCACACTCCGTCAGTGTGAATAGACCTATGTTCACTCAAACAATGGCGTCTTTTTGTGGATAATACACAAGGTGTGTTGTGCGTGACGTTGTGTTATTTCTTTCTGATAATCCACAGATAAGAGGCCAGTGTGGTTTTCAGAAGTAAACACTGAGAAAAAGCCCCTTCAAATCCATCAAAAGACCCCTAATGTTCCCCGTTTTAAGCCGGATTCAGACATTCAAACATCTCAAATCCAATATAGGACCCTGGTGTAGTTTTGAGGTAAATTAAGTTAGGAGAAAGAGCCTGTGTTTTTGAATGAGCTGTGCTGCTCTTTGATAAAAGCGTGCATGTTTATGTTCGTAAAACGGGGGTCACTGTGATATTGTCTGGTATGTGGAGAGTTATAAGAGGCTTGTGCTTAACTCAATCTGCTAGATAAACAGCCCTGAAGCAGGAGCGAGGCTGAGAGGATTCGTATAAGTTTGCTCCCTCCTTCCTGCCCTCTTTTCTCCAGCTCTCCTCTTTTTTTCTCACTTTGTTTTAGACTCCTCTCAAATCTTACCCTTTCACAATCCACAGTCCATTGCTCTTTTCTCCTCAGTAAAACAATCTGAATCTGATAAGTGCGACAGTGAGCTGAGAGCTTACTTTGTGGAGGTGAACACGATGGCTTGTGGTCCTGCTGGGGGTCGCTGTGGTCCGGGGATGGAGTCAGTTTGAGAGGTCAAAGGCCAGGACTGATGGATGCAGTTGGCATCGTCCTCAGGGAGTGTGTGTCGGTGTGTGTGTGTGAGCTCATTATGTTATTGCGCAGCTGGGGCAGTTTTTGTCCTGACTTCCTTTCTGTCACTCTTATTGCTTCCTGATTGCTTTAACAAAGCTACAAAGAGGTACTCTCTTTCAAAATACTTGCAACACTCTCAAACTTTTTACTAATTATCTAAATTATTAAGCAGGACAAAGATTTGAATCATCAGGATAAGGTGCATTTAGGTATGTCACTAAATATTATTCACAAGTTACACATAAAAAAGTTAAACAACAAATATAAAATGGATATATCTTGAATTGGCAATTGGTTTGTTAACTGTTAATGCAGCTGTTTTGACTTTTTGCAGCACGCTCTGTTATCTGCAGCGTGTTTCTGACATTGCATTTGTTTTAGACTTTTGCATTTGTTTTGGAATGTGCATGGCTTCTAAATGTGCAGCCTATTAGCCCTTTTGGAAATCTTTGGACCATTGCAGTGTGATTGCCCCTGCCGGTCACCATAGTAATGATCTATAAACTAATCACATACAGTCAGGATGAACAGATAATTTGTCCATGCACACAAGTCAAACCCAAGCGGAAACCTCCAGTTTAAGACGAAAGGCATGGCAAAAAAACAGGGAACCCCCATTAATACCCATATTAAAATATCATCTTTTAGAGCAGAAATAAATGTGTTCACAGCCTGGTTTAAAAAAAAAAGATTTTGGTCTCAACAGCTCTTTCCTAATTGGTTAAAAAAAAAATGATACGGGGGTAATTTCTTAAGGAAGTACCTGTTTTTATTACATTATGGCTAAGAGAAATGCCTACATTTGTATATTTTGAGGCATGTCTGAGTGGACTATATCAAGTGGGTGCAAGCTGTTTGCCAGGAGGCTGAAGGCTGGCCTCACCTCTACCTCGTTGCCTGTTACTAGATTAAAAGTTAGGTAGAATCAGCAATTCCAATATGGCGACCTCGATCGTTTGCCTTCGTAATGCCATTTCAGAAACCAACGACACCACTGAGACTATGTCCATGTTTTATTTAGTGTGTGGTGAAAGCAGGGATAACCTGACGTCACCATTTGGGTTAGTTTTGTGATTTTGGAGAGTTACTTCCAGACCAAACCGATCAGTATGATTCCAGAGGCTCTTGACTAAAAGTAGCTAAACTTTATGTGTAAATCTGGATGCAAGATGACAGAACCAAACCTCAAAATGCTGAACCTTTTTTGTATTAAATACACAGTAAATAGGAAACAGTATTAAAGGCATCTATTTTTTTTCTTCAAAGAATAGAATCATCAGCTAAGCATCAAGTTTTTTAGTTTTTGAATAAATAACTTCTATAAAGGTTTTATGAAAAACATTAAACATTAAACAGTAGAAAACTCAACAAAAAAAACTTTAATTTTCATTTGCTTAAAACCTCTGCAGCATTTTGAAATGCAATGATCTGTACTCCGTGTTTATCTTTTCTGCAGAGCAGTATTACATTTTAATTCAGAGCATGTCCTCTGGTATGATTTTTCATGATTTGAGATGTGATATTTAAGAGCAGTAAAGCAATAATTATGAAGAGGTTATAAAACAAAGAACATATACACACACTTACACTCACAAACTGACTGCTTCGACTTGTGATGAAACACAACTAATTCACTCTAAGGGAAACCAGACTAACAGACTGATAATTCAAATCTCTTTCCCTGTCTTTCCTCTATAGACATGCGCACGGATGTGTGTATGTGTGTGTGTGTGTCTGTGTTTGTGATAAACTTCCTCTCCACTCCTGTCTCCTTGTGGTGTCAATGGTTAATGTAAACCAGGTCTTGTTACCCCATAATGGGAAACTTCAGAGGGAGATGGAAGTGAGGGAGACACAAAGCTGAAAGAAGTGAAGGCAGAGGAAAGACAGGTAGGATTTTGCTGCACCAAACAGACAAACAAACAAGAGTGTCAGCTCTTTGGAGTTAAAGCTTTACAAAGATTTATAACAAAGCACACACAGACCTGCACCTTTGACTTTTAGATCGCTTTAAGGCCTGTGAGCGCAAAGCAAGTAGATATAAAGAGTGATTAATGAGTGCGTGTGTGGGTCATCAAAGAGTCTGTCATAGCCCACTTAAATCCAGAAAACCAGATGCCTTCACACTGATAACAAGCGCTCATCCCATTACCTTCAAACATCAAAAGGCGGGGGGCTGGAGGTGAGGAGCAGGAGCCCTCTTACCCCCTCTTTCTCTTTCTCCTCAGAGGAATGTATTTCCCTGTTTGGTAGGCGTGAGAAATCTTCCTATGTGTGTGTATAACCTACGTGTATGTGTGTGTGAGAGAGGTGACATTCCTGTGTGTCAGAGCAACAGCCTCAAGTTTAAGAAAACATGGCCACGGTGATCTGAGGGTGGGAATCGATTCCCCCCGGTCGAATGGCAAGGGCCAAGGGGTCAGAGCTGATGGCTTTACCTTCCACACGCACACCCGTGACGCAAAAACACGGTAACACTGCCATATTCTCCCTCAACAATCCTACAGAGAGACTAAGAACACAATATGAGGTGTTTGCATTGACCTCGGTATCTTTCATCTACAGCGTAATACGTCCAACTCATACAATACTGAAATAGCCGACTGCTCTATAGGAAATTCAAAGGATTTCACTGTGAGAAAGAACTATATCTATCCAGTGCCAAATCGCAGCAGAAGCAATCTCAAGACCCTTTACAAAAAAGAGCAGTTCAAGGCAGTTCTCTTAATATTATTATTTACACAGACCCTAATCCACAATAAGCAACCTGGTAAAGGTGACAAGGAAAAACTTCCTTATAAAAGGAAGAAACCTCGAGCAGAAATATCATAGGTGGAAAGTGATTTGTGACAACCATCTGGGCCAAGAAAGTGGGAAGGAAACAGACATAAAGAAGTCCTCTTGAAGTGGACATTTAGAGGCATATAAGCATAGATAACTAGCGAAGTCAAAACTAGGATCTCCAATTTAGTCATGCTACAATCTAGTCCTACACTTCCTGAATACAGCTCAGGACCTATTTTAGTATAGAAAATATGCCTTCTATTTGCTTGCCATTTCATTTCTACAGGTATTCTGAACAGATGGATGCTTTAAAGTGTTTTGATTTTGCTCAAGAATACTCTATTATGCAGGGAGATACTTAGATACCTTAATGGGCATCTTAGATGGAGAGAATTTCCATCTACACAAACCTGAATTCTTCAAATAATGGTGTAATTGTTCTTTCATGATTATCTACTCATTTTTTCTCAGAATTGAAGACTGTTGTCATAGGCTCTCCAGTTTGCATTATGACCTTTATCCACTCTATCTTATCTGTCAAAGCTCCTGGGTGTAGCTGCTGTAGCACCTGCAGGAGACCCCCATGCTGACCTGTGGCTTCACAGGACATCTGGGAATATCGTGCATGCCTCCCACTGCTCCACATTCACCGCTTTAAAACAGACCACCAGCTAATTATGGCTATCTCAGATCCCCCAGCTCAAGAAATCACTACAAAATAAGCCTCGGGTATGAGATGTTTTCGTTTGCCCCCCCCATCCGTCTGTGGTTTAGTTAACTGGGGATTCAGCAACAACCAATGAAAATAAACTTTCCAGAGTGAGCCCAAAGTACTGACACTATGGGAAATGAGTGTGTTCAAAGACATTGTGGGTATTTTACGTGTTATTCTTTCTGTTGGAGCCTAATTTGAAGTATATAAAGAATATGCAGACAACTACAAGGTTAGAATGATACTTTCATTTTTAATTCAAAATATTACCAAATATTTACAACACTCAAAATGTGCAGACTGCAGATCTATTCAGCATTCCGAGATATTCCAAAATAAATACGCTTTATTGGAAAGGGAAGGGAAATGGAATTTAGAGCCTGTGTAGAAAAATAAATAGAAAATATTTCATTTGCTGTGAGACATTGTCACAGGGAATGTGGAAGGAGGTGATTCTCTTGTGTTTCCAAAACAGAGCAGTTCCTCAGAGCTCATCTTTGTTTTTACAACATTCATAGTCGCAGTGGTCTTTCTTCCTTCATATTGGTCCTCTCTGTCCTAAGTGCTCCTTAGCAAACATTTCAGTCCATGCAGAGGGAAATGTAAGAAAAGCCTGCTCTCCTCCCAGGCCTAAAACACAGCAGCACAACTTCATCTGGGATTGTCCTGTTTCAGTCTGAAGGATCGGCCGGATCCACTGGTTGTTTGGTCAGAATTATCTGTAAAAGAAAAAAAAACAATAAAAATCAATACATGGACATGGAATTATAGTAGGGATCAAGGCGTGTCAGATGTGTGCAATTGTTTTGATATCTACAGCTCTTTCCAAAAATAGTCGTAGAGTGAAATACTATGAGAAAAATAAAAAATAATCTGAAGAATTGTAACTCTCTGGTTTTCATTTGACTTCTAGGTTGCAGTGTGTAATACTGAGCATGGATTACTTTTGGCAGAGCTTGCCTCCCTACAGGATGAAGAGTGAAAAGCCTACCGTGCTGTTCCATCCACAGCAGCCTGCTAGTGGGTCGTAGTAGACAAGGACCACGCGCCCCCCATCCTCCAGACGGAAAACGCATAGCTCAGCCGCTCGTGCGCCACGTAGCTGCAGCTGGTCCCTCGCGCGTCCAGCTCGTCGCTCTGCAGAACTTGGCACAAAAAGTCGATATACCGGGACGCGAGCTTCAGCGTCTGGATCTTGCTGAGCTTGTCGGACGGCAGAGTGGGAATGATCTTACGTAACGACGTGAAAGCCTCGTTGAGCGACTGCGTCCGTTGCCGCTCGCGGATGTTGGCCATCACGCGTTGTGTGTGCAGGTCATCGAAGGAGGGAATGGGGCTGCTGCTGCCTTCACTGCCGCCGCTACCCGCGCTGCCGTCTCCTGCCTCGCAGCTCTTTCTGCATTTCTTCTTTCCTGGACTCGGACTCTCCGTGTCGTCCTCCTCGTCCGGACTCCTCCGTGTCGCCCTCCGCTTCCTTGCGCCTCTCCTCGGCAGCTGACAGTCTGTCTCTTCCTCACTGTTCCCTGCACTGTCCATTTGAAAAGGATCCTCTTCCCGCATCGTGTCTTTCAAAACTTTTCTGTAATCTCTAGGGTTCTTACAACTTCTGAACTTTATCCACTGAACTGGTTACAGCGTCAACAAACACGGCAGGTAATAGAAACCCTGGCCTGGACAGAGGTGTCTCTCCACAGAGATGGAGAGGTGTCTGCCAGACTAGGAGGGCCAGGGCTCTTATAATGGGGAGCGCGCAGGAGGATTTTGGGGAGCGCTGTGATTGGGTGAGGAGGGGTGTAACATTATACTGCAGAAGGAGACGGAGAGTTGAAGTTATTATAGGATTGGTGGTTAAGACATGCAGGCTCCTTTACACGGGAATATGAGAGGAGGTGTGGCAGGGGCGTTGTGTTTTTTAAATAAGGGTATGGATTTTGGCACAACACAAAGGGGGACGAATTTGTATTCAAATGATGTTCAAATGATGTTCCATTTATTAACCCAAAAGCATGTTTTGACCAATTTAGAAGTTTTTGTCTCGGTTTAAAGTGCAATGTAACAAAACTCAAAATATGTAGCCTAATTTTCCAAATACCTTATAAAGTTGCTTCTTGTAGCCTACATAACATCGACCTTCTTTTTCGCCTTATTGCAAACAAATGAAAAACATTACTAACAGAAATAACTCAGCCTGTATCTGTTGGCCTAAAAGTCTCTCTGCACAGGTCTAGACACTGCCTGAGAAGGGAGCAGCGGTGGCGGTGAAAAATATCAGACCTACTGAAACACAGGAGGTTGTCACAGCAGGAGGCCCCTGCTCGTAAGCAGACCAAGGTGTTTATTTTCCCGTCAGCGGCCCCGCGTTGAGGTATGCGCTTAAATGAGGTCTGACTCCCGCAGGGATCTCGACACCGCGGCTCAGGTTTAAAAGACGGCCCGTTCCAGGGAGCTCTCAGGGCGGATCCGTCCTCACAGCGGGGTCGCTAAAGGCGGGGGACGGCTGGAGAGAAATGTAAACAGTGAATGTGATAAAGATGGACAGGGGAAAAGAGAGAGAGAGTATCTAACACGCACACATGACCACCCAGCATTTGGGTCCTTCCACCGTATAATATCAAAATCCAGCAGAGAAACCTCTACATGTGGCTGAAACTAGATCTGGCATCTTTTGGAGGTGATCTGTGGTGTGAATGTGTCCTCGGGGAGGCCTCACCTTTGATGGGGAGGATGACACGCGAGGATGGCCACAGCAGGCTCTGTCTGGTCCGGTTTTATGAGAGGAACAGCGACAAGCATCTTTTTAAAAAATATATTTTTATATCTCTGTCTTACAACCAGGATCTGACACTCAATTAACCCTTGACTTAATCAATAGATTCACACCTCAGTGCCAAAGATAACATAGTGTCATGCAGTGAGCCTGGAATTTACGATTTAAATACGCTGATTCTTTATGCATTTGAATGTGACTGTGATACGTTGATAAGGCTTTAAATGGGTAAAATACATCTATTTAGTTGTTGTTCTTTTCCCTTCGAGGAAAAGCTTCCCTTGTTCTTCTCACCCACACCTGCCCGGTCTGCACGAGGCCAGGTAAGGCACGCGGCTGTGTCGCTCTCCAGGGTACTGAAAGAACACACCTGGTCATCCGGCCTTGCGTCAACCACTTCAGAAAATGCTGCTGTTCGTTAACTTTTATTGAAAGGTAGGTTATTAACAGACGCAACCTTTTAAAACAGATAATTAAAAAAAAGGTGTTAATGAAAAACTGTGTTTGTCGATCTACTGCATGATATGTGGCCTATGTGTGCTTTGACCTAAGTATATTTCTTTACATTAATGTCATTTTGCTTACAATTTGGATGCAATTGGGATTTTAAAAACAGTTAAATATACTATTAATTTGTTTTAAAGCATCAATTGGTATGGGGGGAGGTGGGGGGGGGTCCTATATAGGGAATTTTATTATTAATACAATGCAGTCCGTGCTATACATTTAAGGAACGGGGGATTGAAATGTAAAATACGATTTTAATAGTTTAATATATGTATTTCTGCAAAGCCCCATGTCTAGTTCTAAGATTTCCCAGTTTGGAATAAAGAAAGTTAATTAGTTTATCCGTCCAGTGCCATTGTCTTCACGTACATCACTGTCCAACTCTAACTGTTCCAATCTCAATGGAATAAAATTCACATTGGATTATTTTGGATGTTTTGCTCCAGCAGGTCCGTCATGAATGAGATGTAGATGATAGCCAGACGGAGCGTGTCGATCCGAGACAGTCTCTTTTCGTAGGCGAACGTGGGAACTTTTGTCCTCAGCTCATCAAACGCCTCATTCAGGCTGAACATCCTCTTCCTTTCCCGCACGTTGGCCGCTTGCCGCTGCACCACGGTGATAAGCCTCCTCCGCTTGGACTTGCTGAGATGCCCGTGCGCCCCGAGGCTGTAGTACCTCGGGGAGTTCACCACAAGATGCTCAGTGGTTTGCACGCCGGTGTCCATGTCCCGGCCCCAGGGTGAGGCGTCCAGGTGCGCCTGTTTGCTAGGACTAGATAGGTCATCATCCACCTGCTGTTTTGGTCCCATATTGTATTTCTGCGGAAAATCCATCAAATTCAAGTCATCGGCAAAGTGAGCTATCGTAGAGTCCATTTAGCGGCATTGCATCCCCACATGCATGCCCAAAAAGTAGCGTTATGGAGAAAATGTCACTTGTATTAGTATCCTATTCCAACAGGAGCAAAATCAAAACTGACAGAAAAGGCAGAAATCTTTCAGAGACTGAACAAGGAAAGCATCTCAACAAGTAAATCCCAAACTTTTCCGAATCCGGTCTGCGCTCTACAGGGTGAGATCCTATTTGGCTCAAGTCCAAGGGCCTATCCTGCTGTTTTAATATGCCTCCTCACAGCGCGAAATCTTTTAAGTGATGTCCACTCGACTCCGGCTCCACAACGAGTGCATTTCTGACTCTGCTTTGCGTGGGTTTAATCCGAGCAGAGAGGCTAGAAGGCCGAAAGAAACTGGAGGGCCCCGTCGATTGAAGCGCACTCCTCCTGGAGGCCCTTAATGAGCTTCTGAAGAACAGAGCCTCTTGACGGAGGGTCACGCAGTCATGTTTGCGCTGTCCCTTCTGCTTCAGAGGCTAAATAATGACACTTTTATCACTTAAACAGGCCAGGGGAAGACCAAATAGAACATTCCATAACAGTCGCTACACACCACACGCTTTTCTGTTGCAAATGTAAGCAAATAACTGTCCGTTCCCATGGCACGACTAAGTCCTCAGCGCAGGGGTTGCTGGGAGAGACACTACTATCACTGCTGCACTTCTTGACTCTGCAGAGATAGGACATCCACAAATCTGCTTTATAACATCACATTTTGTGTTTAATTGTCAATGATGATGACGATGACCTCTCAGTAGTAAGAGAGAGAAATTGTTAAAATGTTTTGAGCCACAGTTGACTCGCCAAAGAGAATTTCATTGTTGTTGTAAATTTCTAAGATTTAGCATTTGCTTTATCCTGGCAGTTTCACTTAGAACACAAATATTTGTTATCCTTATATGTGGATACGGAGCAAAAAAGGTTTGCATTTAAAAAAAAAAATACTCCACAGAGAGAAACTGCTGTCATTATAGGCGATAATAAATAGTTTCAGTTTCTTGTAGTAAAATAAACTAACTCAAGGGCAACTCAACTATCATGGTGTAACTGTAATAGAATACACAGAATTCTGCTTGTTTTCTGCTGATGGTTTTAAAAGCCCGCAAGTAATGACAAATTGTTTCAGGGGCATGACAATTAAAACTTGCAAGTTATTAGAACGGGGCCAAATGATAATATCAATGGTGTTGAAATAGTATACATTCTCATTTGCTAAGTTGCTCCAGGAGCTTTGAAGAAGTTTCAGCAGAAGTTTCAATGAATTCATGCAGAGACACATTGAATGTGCACTGTCTGTTTGTTTAAATGGTCTTCTGGTTTCTGCTTTGGTTCCATTTAATGAAGCTTACCTGCTTTAATGAGATTAATATCAAATTTAATTATAGTATCTTAACCCCAAGTACTGAGCATTTAGAGTTTGAAACCTGAATACATAGTTCTCGACGTACAAAAGTGTACAAAAGACGCTGAAAGTGTTTATTAAAGTTTTTGTGAGGTGTTTTTAGTTATGAAACAAATCAAATTATTACTGATCCACAAAAGCAGAAGAGAGCATTGGGGAGAAGTTTTATATTTCTGAATTGTTTTCTTTTTACCTGTAAACGCGCTGCCACCGGGTAGATCAACAGCACGATGCTAAAACAGCCTTTTTTTGAATGGCAAACGTTCACAGAAAGTGAAATGTTAAAGTCAAAGACAGCAGGATGAGATTTTTTCAGCAGAAAATACTAATTACGCATATTCGTGACAACATCGACAGAAGGATTAAAAGTACCACTTTGACCACAGAGGGCGCCAAAATCAACAAAAACACAAATCCCTCACAGGAGCTTTAATGGCTAAAATTATAACAGATAACTAGTTTTAAAGGGTGCCATATGTAAGATGTGAACTGCTTTAATACTCATCATTCTGGCTTAACAAATTCTTAATACAATGTAAGCATTTTTCCAGTTCATTATTAAATCAACTGTGTTTTAAGTTTTTATTTACTCTTTGCACCCATAGTCACTTCATTGCGTAGTCCACCCAAATGTATGAAAACGCAGACACATTTGTTTGCAGCTATTTTTTAGTGCGTTTTTAATCTTTGATTAAGTATTTATATTATTCTTTAAATTGCAGAATAGAGGCCGGTAAACTAAAGAATCACTATGAAAAGTTAATCATCTTGAATCAAAAGTAAACAAAGGGAGATTTAATTTGTCTACTCAATGAAAATGGACAAGAAGAAGTGCTTTAAAGGGCTGTTCCACATAATGTTTTATAATGAACTGTTTGGATTAACTTTTGGCCGCATGTTGACAGAGCTAAGGCCAGTGTTAATAGTTAGTTTTTTGCTTTTTGCCGTGGCTTATGCAATCCTGTGTGATCAATACAATTACTAAAGAACGAGAGTTTGAGTGCACAAGTGTCTGTATGCACACTTCAATTCCAACCTAAGTGTATCTTCTCCATCTCCCTTCGCTGCCTCCTCTTCCTCTCGCTCTGTTTTCCTGGCGGGCAGATAAACATGATGAGACATTCCGTCGGTTGTCCTGGTAACACTGAGAAAGCACAGCTGGGTGGGAGAATATGAGGTAATCTCACCCTGGGGCTGCTGGGTAAATATTGGTCTTAAATAAGGAGTAAAACCCCAAAAGAGTCACACAAACACACAGAAACACACACACCTACAGGGGTTTATCCCAGTTTTGTCAGAGTGGAAACACACAACACAGACCTTAACACACACACACACACACACACACACACACACACACACACACACACACACACACACACACACACACACACACACACACTCATAATGGCCTGTTTCCTGCTCTGCTCCGTTATTAGTGGGTATACAGAGTGAAATTAATGACAGTTTGTGGTGTGACTGAATGTTTATGGAGGTAAACAGTGGAAGTCAAGTGCAGTAAAACCTCAGAGTGACACCAATTTTTTGTCAAAGTTAGTCAAGTGGAGATTTGTATTTATAAAATAAGAGTCTACAGCCATACTACCAGCTACATAACAAGCCATGAACCATCAGTGCTTTGAGATAACACCAGCATGCAGTTATAGCATGCTGAAGTACAGTAGGTATACTGTTAACACGTTTATCATCTAAGTAAGCATGCTTACATTTGCTAATTTTTATATAAATCAAGTAGCCTGACCTCATGTTTTGTTTGTTTGTAATTTGAGTAACATTGGGTTGTCTTGGAGTCAAAAATAAAAATAATGTTCTTAAATGAATAGCGCTTTCTTTCTAAGCAAGACCATACGGACATCTTCATTCAATGTGCGTCTAGTAGATTTTCTAACACAGACTTTATAAAACATGGATATTCTCTCAGTATCGTCCCATTTGTTTCTGAAAAGGCGTTATGAAGCGTAATGATGGAGGTCGCCATATTGGGGAATGCTGTCTGCTCATGAATATCATCCAGCCCTTCTCGCTTGCCATCTAGCTAGCATATTCCAAACAATGGAAAAAAAGCATTAAACAAAACCCACAGTTTAGAGTAAGTAAAGGGATTTAAGTGAAGCCTGGCAAACAGCGACAATGTACCCGCAATCAGTTAAATCAGCCATGCCCTAGTTATGCATTAATAGATAAACTCTTAGCCTAAATATAATCACACCAGATGAGTTATAACCCCCCCTATAGTTTTAACCAATAAGAGAAAGAGCTACAGAGACCAAAACAGGCTTTGTACTAGGCGGTTAACATGTTCATTTCTGCTGTAGAAATGGGCATTTTAATATGTGGCCTGATAAAGATTCTTTGATTTTTTGAACCAACCTCAAGTGGACACTAGAGGAACTGCAGTTTTATGCACATCAGCATTGGCTTCCTTTTTTAACATCTAAGGTTGCAGGTATATTTTAATGTCGCAGCAGAGATCACTGTGATACATCACCTTACTGTAATAAAATATATCACTCGCCAATCACTCGCCAATCACAGGCCAATTTTTACTGTCAGTAACCTCACAGTCAGAGAGTGACCATTCATTATAATAATGCAAGTTATCTCAACCTGAGAATAAAGGATCGACAAATGAGTCTCGTTTTTATCTTACAGAATTACAGTTTATCCCAAAAATGTCAAAAGCAGAATCAAAGTATCCAAGAGGCAAGCCTGGAAAGAGTCATGTGTTTTGTTCCAGTAGTATGTTTTACTGCAGAATATGCTGTTATGAAGTAGTTTTTTTAATATAGAGATCATCAGAGAACAGTATGTGTGCAGAGCTGCTCCAGTGCAGCCTGAGCTGTTCTCACCGTGTAAATCTGTCTTCCTACTCCTCCTCTGGCTCGGTCCTCAGTGTGCTGTATGAACAACGCCAAATCTCTCCCACCACTACAGTAAATCTGAAACTAGACACTCCTCTCTGACTCTTTTTTCTTTCTCAGCTACACACTCTCTCTCTCTCTCTCTCTCTCTTTGACTCTTCTTTTTCCCTATAGTTGATCTGATTCTCTCCAAACGCAGATCAAATATTATTTTTCTACATTCGTCACTCCTGAGTGGAGCAGCTCAACTGATTTTAAAGAGATGGAACAGAAAAGAAACAATAACGGGAATAGAAAAGGATGAGGATGAGTTTAACTCCTGACCTCTGTCATCTTTCTCTCTTTTTTACACACCCATAAAGCTGACTCATTGCTACATTTGTCCCACACATCTCTTCCTCTGATTGGCTACGGACTAACAACCAATCATGGAGTATTTACACGGTCGGGTTGCCAGTGAAGGGTATTTGCTTTTTTTGTGTGTGAAATCTGAATAAACCCCAATACCACATCTTACATCTCTTCCCCCTCTCTTCCTCTTTTTCTCCCACGTCTCCTGCTCGCCAAAATGCTTCTTGCACTCCTCCTTTTTCAAAACGTCTCAGCTCTCCCTCTCCACCACCACACTAAAAT